CAGATACTAGTAGTTTATTCCTGTTTATTGCTGGATTGTATTTCATGGATTTACCACATTTTATTTATTTTGTGTGCAGTTGATGGAAATTTTTATTTCATTTCACCCTCACAAATGAGCTTCTCTGAATATGTACATACCAGTCTATGTGTGGATTTATGATATCCTTAATTTTAAAAACAGATTTATTGAGAAATAATTCACATGCCACACCATTCACCTGTTAAACTTTGCAATTCACTAATTTTAGAATTAACAATTTCATGACCCATCAACAAACTAATTTTAGATTATTTTTGTTCTTCCCTAAGAAACACTATACCCATTAGCTGTTAATTCTCCATCTTCCCGAATCTTCAGTCCTGACCAACCACACATCTTCTCCTGATTGTAGTTCTCAGGCTTCATCCATGCTGCGTCTTGTGTCAGTACTTGTTCCCTCGCCTTGATGAGCAATATCTCATTATATAACTGTGCCACATTTCCCCCATTTATCAGTTGTTGAACATCTGGGTTGTCCCTGCCATGTACGGACAATAGGATTTCTGGTACAAAGAATAACTACATTTTACACTTGGAAGCACTGCCAAAACAGTTGTACAATTTTACATTCTGACAAGCAATTTCTCTGCATCATCATCAACACTTGCTGTTGTCCATTTTTTAAATAGCCATGCTAATGGGGATGAAGTACTATCTCATTGTGGTTTTGATTTGCATTTCCCCGGTGACTAATGGTGTTGAACAACTTTTCATATGCTTATTGACTGTTTGTATATCTTCTTAGGAGAACTATATATACAGATCTTTTGCTCATTTTCATTGGATTCTTCTTATATTTGAGATGCAAGTCTCTCATTAGATATATTTTCTTCCCGCTTTAAAGGTTATCTTTTCATTTTCCTGATATTTACAGCATCAGTTTTAATTTTTATTTTAAGTACAATTTATTTATTTTGTCACCTAGGCATTTAGTGTTATATCTCAGAAACCATTGCCCTAACCCAAGATTGTGAGCATTTACTTCTGTGTGCTTCAGAGAGTTATGATTTTTCTTTCTTAGGCATTTAGGACTTCAGTGTATCCATTTTGAGGGTTTTTGTGTGTGTGTGTGTGTGTGTGTGTATAGTGTTAGATGGGCTTCACTCTTTTTCATGGGATATCCAGTTATTCTAACACTTGAAATGACTGTTGTTCTTCATTTGACACCCTTGCCAAAAATCAGTTAACCATAAAAGCTAGAATTGTATTTCTGGACTCAGTTGTTTAATGACATGTGTCTATGTCTATGTTAGTACAACCCTTTCTTGGTTACTAAAGTATACTTTTGACGTTGATGATTACAAGTGATTTTCTTTTGCTAGATGCTTTGATTTTCTAGCAGTCCCATTTATTTCCACATTTAAGTATCAGCTTTTTAGTTTCTGCGTATGATAGTCAGTTTGGGCTTTTCTTGGAGTTGTGCCGACTCTGTGGATCAAGGTGGGACTATGGCCGTTCTTAACAATAATCAATCTTTTGGTCCGTGAATATGGATGCTTTTTCATTTTTTGGTGACGTCTTTAATTCTTTCAATAATGTCTTTTCATTTTTGGAATAATCAACTTTTGCTTTTGTTAAATTATTACCTGTATTTCATTCTGTTGGATGCTATTTTAAGTGATTTCCCCCCTTAATTTGTAAAATATTTTTTTGCCCTAATTAGTATTCACTATTTTACCTCTCTGGATACTAATATCTATTGCAACGGCTACACAGAACTAAAAGACAAAATTCTTGATTAAAGTGTTTACTAAAAGAGTCAAGTTTTAAGGGGATGTCCAGTTGCCCACAAATGGCCTTTGGGCCCCCACTCTGCACTCCCCCTCATTCACAATGTTGTGATTTTTGTTCCTTGATGCTTGATACCTGATCCCTTCAACACCTCGTGATCACACAGGCTGGTGTGCTTCCTCCATGTGGGCTTTGTTGCTTCTGAGCTAGATGGCCGCTTGTTCAACCCCAGATGCTGTATCTTTTGATAGCCAGGCAACATCAGCTTTCTTCACTACACTTGCTTATGCCACCGTTTGTCCTCAGCAATCGTATCGGGAAGGTGAGCACACAATGATAACGATTTTTCCTTCTCGGGGAGGAGACGAGCTGGTCAGGGGGCAGTGTAGCAGCGATGAAAGATACAACTTTCCTCTAGTTCTTAAAAGCTTCCTCCCCACAACTATCATGATCCCAATTCTACCTTACAAATCCAGCTGGACCAGAGGATGTACACTGGTACAGATGGGAACTGGAAACACAGGGAATACAGGACAGATGAACCCCTCAGGACCAGTGGTGAGAGTGGTGATACCGGGAGGGTGGAGGGAAGGTGGGGTTGAAAGGGGGAACCGATTACAAGGATCTACATATACCTCCTCTCTGGAGGTCGGACAACAGAAAAGTGGGTGAAGGGAGGTGTTGGACAGTGTAAGATATGACAAAATAATAATGACTTGTAAATTAACAAGGGTTTGTGAGGAAGCGGGTAACGGGGAGAGAAAAAATCAGGAGCTGATGCCAGGGGCTCGAGTGGAAAGCAGATGTTTTGAGAATAATGATGGCAACAAATGTGTAAATAGGCTTGACACAATGGATGGATGGATGGATTATGATAAGTGTTGTATGAGCCCCCAATAAAATTTTTATTTTAAGTCAACAAATTGTAATGCCTGTGAGAAATGTTCAAGGTAGGTAGAGCTGTTGATCAGGACATGTTTTAAAGTTCTTTCAGGTCTGCTAATACATAATGACCAAAGGAGCATACCACACACTTGTAAACCTCCCCCGGAAGGCACTCAGCTCAGATTCAGTGGGTCCGCAAACCGAGCTCCACGAAGAAAATGCCTAGAGACACCCCACTCCACTAAGTCTCAGCCAGAAGTCTCTCAGCTCTATTTCCATGGGTCAGCAAGCTCAGCTTTCCCAAATAGGTGCCCAGAGGCACCCCACTCTGCAAACCAGTCTCCTGCCCCAAAGCACTCAACTTTACTGGCTCCCTGGATTGGGAAGTCAACCACTCTGTTCCTTGGTCTGGCTCCTGTTCTATTGCTGCTCCTCTGATCATATAACTGTCATCTGAATCCAGGAGGTTCACTGCCCAGGGATCTCAGGTCCAGAGGACTGCTCCACTCCTGGCTGTTACTGGTAACGAGACTCTTCCTCCTGTTTCTCAGAGGGCTCATTTTATACACAGCAGGATAGCATTCCAGAGAATCCTATGCACAATTACTCACAGGTGAATCCTATTGGTATCTTCCTCCACCTTTTTACCAGACCCATGCAGGCGAAGGTCATTTGGTGGGAGTTTGAGATTGGCTAGAACTAGCTAGAGACCTACTAATTCACTGCCCCTACAAAATGCATATTGCTAATATATAGACAATCGATTTTATATATTAATCATGTATCCTATGTGTTAGTATAACTTTTGTGAAGTCCTTGGGATTTTTCTCTATGTAAGATCATGTCATTTTCGAATAGAAATCATTTTATTAATCTGTAGTGCGATGCCTTTTAATTCTACCTTGCCTAATTTTTATTATTTATCTCATTAAAGGATATTGGATATGTAAAATCCTTTTTCTCCATATTGAGACTGCCATGCAGTTTCATCCTTTGTTCTTTTAATGTCATGTTTGAGGGACTTCAAAAAGTTTGTGGAAATTTTTCGTTATCTTTTATTTCCACTTTCCACAAACATTTTGTAGCTCCCTCGTATCATAGGTGTGTTTACTATCAGTATTTAGCAGCTGTTGCCAGTCGATATGGGAACTATGTTTAGGTATAAAGCACTAACATTTTGGAATCTGTTAATAAACTCAGATGTGTCATTCTGCAGTTTTACTTGTAAAGTTGTTTTGGGTTTTTTTTTAAATCACATAAGTGGGTTTTATGTAGGAGTCAATTAATGGCAGATATCCGATCTCTACCTGTGTTTGCCTCAACCTCTGAAATTGTTGTTAACAAGATAACTTCTTAGTCAACAAAAACCCAATATAAACTCAGGTGTATTTGACTGGTTGCTCACCTGTTTAGGTTACTTTTGGGTAATAACAAATATCTTTGTCAACTATTGGTGGATAGAGGTTTCTGACTTAGAATGAACATGTTTAACTGATTTTAATTTAGAGACTACCCAGGTTAAGTTGAAATAAGTACTAAAAAGAAAAAAGAAAGAAAGAAATAAGTACTTACCTTGCTCTGTTAGTTTCTTTTCTCGTGGCATTATGTTGTCTTTCTCCAGTATTTTGTTTTCTTACAGATCTATTTCTAGAAAGTCTTTTCATGTCGATTTTTGTTGTTAAGCATTCTATCTTCTTTTTAGATGGTTTCTTACCCCCACCCTCCTTTCCTGCCCTTTTAAAAAACTATCTGGGTTTCAAACAAGAAAATATCTATTTATTTGAAATAAAACAGTTAAGCTTCAAATAGGAATTTCAACTGTTTTATTTTAAATAAATTCTTTTTTTCTTGGTAGAACAAGAAATCTTGGTTTAGATGGGAACAGGAAATACTCATTTATATGTACATGGAATCTTCTATTAGTCGAGGTTATATCTTTTATTTTATATTATCTTTAAATAAACATCCATTCTTAATATTTTTATTTGTGTTGCATTCTTTTCATGGAAATTTGTTCCTTAATTTCCGAGAACTTCCTAAAAGGGTATCATCTATGGGAGAACATGATGGTTTGAGTTGATGGCTTATACACTCTTACATGTATCAAAAAGAAAATGAAGTTTTTCAGAGCTAAACTGAAAAGAAATATAGTGGCGGGATCACTAGAGATCTCTTTTATTATCTGTGTATATTTTCCACTTGTATGTCTGATCCATAAAAATACAGACATGTGGTTGTCCTGTGTATTATCTACAACTGTGTGGATCCTGGTGTCTGCCATGGTTTGGGGTCTCTGGCTTTGAGTATTGAAGATCTTCTCTCTCCTTTTACATGTGCCCCAGGTGGAGGAGTTACTGACGGCCGTGGAGAAAGTGAAGCAGGAGCGAGAGTCCATGAAAGCAAAGCTGTCCTCCATCCAACAGTCACTGGCAGAGAAGGAGACTCATTTGACCAACCTTCGGGCAGAGAGGAGAAAGCATTTAGAGGAAGTTCTGGAGATGAAGTGAGTGTTTATAATCTAACTTTTCAAGGGGCCTTTCAATAGAAATAATTTTCCTCTTTTTTTCTTCTTTATGTATTATTACACTTACTGCACTTAGCCTAATTTTTCAGCAACTTGTAGTAAAAATTTGGAACAAATTGTGGTCAGGTAGAATGATTTTTGCCTCCTCTGAAGTGAATTCTAAAATCCTCTAGAGTATGAGTATCTTTGTCCAGTTGTCTCTGAGGTTTCTAAAATCTTAAAGAAAGTTTAGGCAAATTGATGAACTCACTGGATAAGAATTTTGGCTCTGAGGTGTAGGCAACATTTTACATCTTTTACTGTAAAAATTCCAAAAGTACACAAAAGTTGAGCCCCATATACCTATTCCCAAGACTAAGCAGACCTACATACCTATTCCTCAGACCTGTTATTACACTTTTTTGCCAGGTTTTACATAATTTTTACTTTTACCCAAGCCTTGCTCTGCATCATTTCCTGCATCAAGCCTCATCTTGTGGCTCCCTAGGATTGTAATCGGTTTTGAACCGTTTCATAACCAGTACATAATAGATGCTTGCTTTTCTACTAACATTTAAAAATATTCTGGTTCCCTTCCCTTAGTAGAACAAATGTTTCTTCTCTTAAAAGATCCAATAGCACTGTCTTTTTCTCTTCCCACACTCCCTCTTAGCTAACAATGTTTCTACTCTTTACTGAGCCACACTCCCTCTTAACTAACAATGTTTCTACCCTTTACTGAGCCACACTCCCTCTTA